TGTGTGTGTGTGTGTGTGTGTGTGTGTGTGTGTGTGTGTGTGTGTGTAGTATTGCAGTATGTTGGCTTTGGCATCAGGAAGACCTGAATCAAGTTCTTCTAGTGTAGTGTGTACATATAAACATACACATATAAATAGAAAAACACATACATAAATCAAAGAATGAATGTATATACACATATATGTACACACAGAGAAGGAATCAACACACATATGTATCTCTGTGTGTGTATGTGTGTGTACACAGGCAGACACACACACACACACACACACACACACACACACACACACACAGAGCAGAACCTGAATCCAGGCCTTTTTGATGCCAAAGCCAGCACACGCTGTCCACTACTTTACTTAATGACTTCCACAGTTCCATGTGATCAAACTCTCATAAACAGGGAATGCTTTTTTCTTATGTGAGAGGGAGGTCACCAGACATTACATGGGGCCCATTTTAAAGGAGATAATGATATATTTCCTATCAATGAGCAGAATTCCAGAATTCAGAAGCAAGTAAGTTAAACTAAATCCTCTTGTGGGGAAGTGTAAGTTCAAATAAAAGAAATCCTAACTCCCAATACTGGCCTTACATTTCTCTGGGTACATCTGCCATGGACTCATGAAATCACAGTATTGATTTAGAGCTGGAAGGGATCTCAGAGGTCAACTAGCCAACCTCCTCCTTTCACAGTTAAGGAGACAGAGGCCCAGGGAGAACAAGAACCTTGTTCATGGTCACATAGAGAGAATGTAGCAAAGCTTGGATTTGAACCCAGGTTCTCTGATTCCAAATGTAATGTCTCTTCCATTACCCTAGGCTGTCTCTCCCATTATCCTTCTGAAACTAGTAAATGTGGGAGGAACTGGCCTAATTAGAACTGAAACTTTTCCTGTAGGGTTGGAGATTCCAATGCAAAGGTACAGTCTAGATTAGAAAACCAAATCTGAGACTGGCAGTGGGACCAGGACCGGCCAAAACTTTTGGGTGTGGCATGTGGCCTGCTTGGGAATGGCAATGGAATCTGACCTTGGGAATGGCATTCCAGGGCTCAGTGTCTTGGTTCCTTTGAGAGTCATTTCCAATAACCATTCAGATCAAGCATAGCCACTAGCCTTTCCATATGGCATCAACCATCAACTAGTTCTTTGTGGAAATTATCATACGTCTGCCAGTAGCTCATGCTGAAAAGGGGACTATGCTCTTTTCTTTTTAGGAAAGTAGACCATCATGAGAAAACAATTCCTTGGCAAGGTTTTAGGAAAATGGATACTACACCATATATACTACAGGGCTAAATAGGATTTTTTTTCTTTTATCTCCACACCCTTCACCAATCATAACATGAATGAGAAATGCAGTTAGCTTGAAGGGAGCTGCAGAATAAGGGTTTCTGAATTCCAGTAGGGCATCACTTAATCTTCATTCCATCATTCTCCATTTTTGTTGGCTTTTTAATACACAGTTGCTAAAAGAGTCATGAACAGAAAGGTTGCTGGTTAACTAGGTTAATTTACCTATACTCTAATATTTGATTTTTGAGCCCTGGCATGTTAAATCTGGCCCTTGTCTGCAAGCTGTAAAGCTTTCCCCCTTTGTAATCCTGCCATACATTTAACAAGCATTGACCATGCTGACCTCAGTGTCTGGTGGCATGGAAGTGAGGCCTTCTTTTTCATGGAGGGTCCTGGTCACTGTTTAGGTTTTGATTTTTTGGTGCATGTTATATGGAGTAAAGTTTCTGGCTACTTCTATATGAGACCCATACAACCAGCTGAAAAGTACAAACCTGTAGTAGAACAACCAGTTAGTGTCACTGTTCCATGCAACTGTCTGGCAACACCAGCTGCCCTGGCATCCTAGGGAATGATCTAGCCTGCAAGGATTGGGGATTTCAATCACTGTTACCCTTACCTGTCTCTGAAAGGAACACACATTTTATTCCTGAACAGGAACAATGTTCCAATGAGCAGAGGCACATACTTCCTCATCAACGATGGAGAGGAACACGATGAAGCTGGTCTATGATTGCCTACAAAAATAGCTAACATAGTAAGCTTCAAAAGTAAGGGTACTTACGACTTCTGTGACACAGGTGGTTTGGTTGACACTTTGATGTCTGGGTCACTCCACTCTGAAACAAAGAACAAAAGAATGACCAACTCATAATTTCAAATGGCCCAAATCCAACCGGGCCCCCAACTTTCAGCCGACCCAATTCGGTTTAGCTCTACAGCATTCCAGATTGGAGAAGGTATAATTTAAAAAGGAATTGATCTGAGGTATCCCAGGAGGCTTAATTTCTCATCCTAGGTTTGGTGGTGGGGGTGGGGGGAGGTGTGAGGAGAGGGAGAGGGAATAAGAAAAAAGACCTACTTTGTGCACTGTATCCTGAGGTCGAAAGTTGCAGGTCCTACAATAAAGAACACAGAAAATACAAGCATTAATTAAGCGATACAAAAAAAAAGAAAGTGCGTTGATATTGCTATTTAAGATAAGGTTTGGCTGATGCTGTTAAAAAGGAAATCTTTATTAGCCACTCCACTAACAAGAGTCCTGCTTATACTTCTATTGTGAAGGATAATAATTCGTTCATTAAAGGCAATCAGCAATCAGTACTGAATTGTAGTCTAAATCAATCTGAGCCCTCAGAGTTGGCATGATGGCTATTAGAATATTCTTACAGAAGGAACAGTTGGTAGCAGAGCAGATAGGGTTCCGGTCTTGGAGTTAAGAACACGTAAGTTTAAATCCAACCACAGCCAGTAAGTGACAGTGGAAAGTCACTTCGACCTTGCTTTGTCTCAGTTTTGTCATCTGTAAAATGATGATAATGATAGCACTTACCTCCCAGAATTGTTGTTAGGATCAAATGAGATCATATTTGCAACACACTTTTCAAACCTTACAGTGCTAAAAAAAATACTAGTTATTATAATGCATAGTATTCATAGCAGTCATCATCATGGTCACAGTAATTAAGTAGGTAAATATTAGGTAAGTAAGGCATAAGCAAAAGGGCCCAGGTCTCAGTGTTAATTAACATTCTGATGAAAGCTACCATGTTTTTTTATTCATCATTAAACATACACAAGGCTCTTCCCCTCCCTAAACCTCAATTTCTTCCTCTGTAAAATAAGGGAGTTGTACCAAATGATCTCTAAGGTCCCTCTGTCGTGGCCGTAGATCAATGATTTCACAGATCTGCCATCTGTCCCATAGAACTGGCAGAAATGACAAACTCAGGCTGATCCTTTAGCATTTTTTACACAGCTCCATTTCAATAGTGCATACATTTGTAAATGCAGAAATTGAGATTTGCAAACAAGATCTAAAAACAGTGCCTGATGAGGAAGCCCCAGAGCCGCTACCAGCATCTCAGAGGACAGGCTTTGCTTCCATTTCTTCCTCTATTCCCTTTAGTGAGGAAGCTGATGAGAAGTGAGCGAAGCAGAAAGAGAAAGGCAGGGCCAGGGCGGAGGATGTGGGTACATCCTGGTGTTCATGCTCTGGCTCCATGTGTCAATGCAGCCCCAAAGACAAGCCTATGGCCTGTTCAGGCAGCACTTCTCCCTGCTGGAGTTTCAGCCTCGCCAATGCTATTGGTTAAACTGTAACACAAGTGACTGTTTTGCCACTCCTGATTCTAAATCAATCTGCCCCTCCTTTTAAATTCACCGTATCAGTGGAGATGGAGGAAAGTGATTGAGAGGAGGAGGATGCTTAAAGTTATCTTTTATTCTTCCCTCTCCTAATGTAGGGCAGCTAGGGGGTGTCAGAGTACACAGAAGGCTGGGCCTGGAGTCAGGAAGACTTCTCTTCCTGAGTTCAAATCTGACATCATACACTTACTAGCCATGTGACCCTGTTGGCCTCAGTTTCCTCATTTATAAAATGAGCTGGAGAAGGAAATGGTAAATCTATGTCAAGAATCTATGTCAAGAAAACCCTAAATAGAATCACAAAGAGTTGGACACAACTGAAAAACGACTGAACAAGAACAAAACTCCTAATGGAATGAGTTCTGGTCAATTCCACTTTCACACCATGTCTAGCATTCGCCTCCATCTTTCTGTTCCTATGGACACCACCCTAGTATAGGCCCTGGACATCTAGACCAGTGCACCAGACCCGTTAGAAGCCAACCGCCATCCACTCTCTCCCATTACTAATCTGGCCTTTGTGGTGCTGTCAGAACAATCTTTCTCACACAGAGTAATCTGTCTAAAAAGTCTCTAGTGGCTTCCACTGAAGACCCTTTAAAATACAATGACACCTCCCTTTCCCAGCCTTGTTCAATATTACATGTTCCACATGACCTCAATGCCTTCTGTGCTCACATTGCTCCCATCTGGCATGCTGTCACCTCAGCCCTCAACCTGATCAATTCCTACTCAGACTTTAAAAGTCATCGCAACTGCCACCTCCTCCATGAAGCCTTTATGGATTCCCCTCTAGTCAGCATGGATCTTTCCTATCTTGGACCTCATAGAGTCCTTAGTTTTTGAAATTGTCTTTTTTTTTTAACCACATTTTTCAAAATCACATTTACCATGTGATTCTGTGTATAATAGTCATCATTATTTGTATCTAAGCCCCATACTAGGTTGTAAGCTCTATAAGGGCAGTAGCCAAGCCTTATCCAAAATTTATTTTCCTTAGTAGAGAGTTTTGTACCCAATAAACACTCAAGGAAAGTTTGTTCAGTCAGTGGAGAGATACCTGCATGGCTTGATGGGAGAGGAGATGTAGGCCAGAGTTTTTGCAAGTGGTAGCGAGTATCCACTAAAAATGTTTTGTTTTGTTTTTTATTCTGGGCAGGATGACTCATAGGAAATACAGGTAGGAAAAAGATCCATGCTAATTCCTCCTAAGTGATTATTTCAATTTATGAGAGGCCATATGAGAGAATGGATAGAGAACTAATAAGGAAGCCAGAGGGCCTGGGCATAAGGCCTACCACCTCTGACTCAATTCTGGCTGCATGACCCTGGGCAAGTCACTCAACCTCCCATTACTTTAGGCAACTTTCTTAGGATATAAACGTTGCAGAGACAGCACAGATTTACTCTGGTAGAGGGAGTTTCTTCATGTCTCAGAGAGAAATGAAATTATAGGTTCAGTCTCTATTTCTTTCCCTCACCTCAGTTGCTATTATTATTACCATCCCTGGTGGACCAAAGCAGAGGTGTCAAATCCGTGGTCAATGGGTGAACATACAATGTCCTGAGTGTGGCCCTAACCAGATTAAAATGTAACTAGAAAATACTTAACAAAATAAATAAAAATAAAACAAAACACAGATAATATTATAGTTTAAAACAAAGTCAATGTGTGGCCCTCAGGGATCCTTATGTATGGATTGGTGGTCTCCATATCTATTTGAGTCTGATACCACTGGACTAGAGAATCTAGTTTTCATAGAGTTATAAAAACAAATTAAATTCTAAAATTTAAAAACATAATGAGAAAGAAAAAAAAGGAAAAGAATAACAAAACCACTGACCTTGCCTGAGTTGGAAAATTTACTCTGTTCTGCTTTTCCTGGAGTTTGAATTGCAGTAAGAGGTGGAGGCCAGGTGTAAGTCATCTCCTAATGTGGGGGGAAAAAGCAATCGCAGGTTCAGATCACACTCATAACATCTCCCCCAAACACACGGGTGCCCACACCCACACATGGATGCTGCGTGCGCGCGCACACACACACACACACACACAGCTTGCTGGGTCATGTTTTCTAGTCAGCTAAGTGGCATAGGAGATAAAGAGATAAAATACTGAGCCTAGAGTCAGGATGATCTGAGTTCAAATGTGGCCTCAGACACTTAGTAGTAGTATGATGCTGGGTAAATCACTTAAACTCTCTCTGCCTTAGTTTCTTCATTTGCAAAATGGGATAATAAACAACCACCTTGGGTTGTTGTGAGAATAAAATGAGTTAATGTTGGCAAAGCACTTTGCAAACCTGAAAACACTATATAAATGCTAGCCATTATTATTGTTCAGAAAAAAAAAAGACTAACATCAGGTAACAACTGACACTGGGGGAAGAAGTGCTTAGAAATGAATGAAAGAGAACAAGCTGGATTGAACTTGGGAAACTGCACCATCTATGGCTCCACCTTTCTTCTGGAAACAAAAGCCCATGTTATAGAATGCCCTGTTTTGCAAAGAGTCAAAATGGTGGGGTCACCCAAAGGGCAATGGAGAGCCGCACAGGAAGACAGGAGCATATCTGCAAAGATGACTTGGCATGAAAAATGCTAGAAAGAATATCAACAAAGAGATTTATGACTGGTCAAAGGAGGCAAGTCATGGAGTGAGAGTGAGGAGTAACAGATGGTCAGATCGAGTCCCGCACTGGTACTCACAGAATGTTAAGACTGAAAAGATGGCCTCCAAAATATTGGGTGGAGCCTTTCCCTTGCCCCTGCCCTCACCTAATGGAAGATTTATGAGAGGATGTGCCTACGAGTCACACCAGATGTGAAAGGATGGGTTGTTACCAGTACCTTGGAGGGTATCCAAAATGATGAGATAACACACCTGTTGATGAACTGTTGTTCATTCTGCCCACCCAGCTACCACCTGTGTGTATATCTGTGAACTCTAATCTCAAGGAAAACAAACACACACACACCTCCTCTTTGGTGTTGTTAATGATATCTTCCTTGGTCTTTGAAGGACTCTCTAAGAAAGGAAGGCACTCCACTCTTTCTTGAGTCTAAGCACACAGAGCCATGTACTTATCCCTATAAACTAGGCCTGCATCTGGACAGATACGAACAGCTGATCTTCTTGTCCCTGAAGCCACATGTCTCACCAGCAAAGTCTTTCCTCTGGGAGGCATAACAATGATACTAACAGGTTTTCTCAACTCTTGAAGCAAATCTAATTTTGTCACATAATAATAAGAAAAAGTCTCCATGTTGGAGTACTGAAGGCCTCCCTGTGAGGTGGCTTAGCCCAAGGTGAGGAAACCAAGGCTTCAAGGAGTGAAGTGAATTGCCTACAAACACATGGCAAGTGTCAGAGACGTGATTTGAACTCATGTCTTCTGACTCCACACTGGACATTCTTCACACAATGTGATCAACAGAGAAAAAACAGGAACATGGAGAAAGCATGAGGTTACATACATAGTTTTATTCAGGAAATACTTTGCTCTACAATCACCAGAAGCTAAAAATCCCCATGAGAAGGATAAAGAGAAATTGTTTGTTTGTTTGGGGGTGGGGGGGAGGAGGTAAGATTTGTGAAGATCCCGTTAGTATGTTAAGTATTACTTTTTTACTTCCTGAATAACTCAATTTCCTGCAAAGCAAAATTAAGTACTTTCAGGTTGTACCTCTATTACATACATTTCCTTCTATATCCACGAATTTCAAATAATTCTTTAATACATGAAGGGTTACAATGAAAGGAGATGAAGCAAAACAATTCACTGTCACTCTACCAATTTAATATTTATAATCATTTGGATGGATTATGAAGTACTCAATTTCACCTGTGCTATTCCAAATTGGGGCAGCTAGGTGGCGCTGCAGGGGATAGGGCACTGGGCCTGGAGTCAGCAAGACTTAGGTTTCCTGAGTTGCAGTCTGGTCTCAGACACTTAGCAGCCGTGTGACCTTAGACAAGTCACTTCACCCTATTTGCTTCAGTTTCCTCATCTGTAAAATGAGCTGGAGAAGGAAATGGCAAACCATTCTAGTATCTTGGCCAAGAAAACCCCAAATGGGGTCACAAAGAGTCAGACATGACTAAAATGACTGAACAAAAATGATATAAGGTAATGTGAAAAGGGAGAGCAAAGTAGCAACTACTAGATGAGGGGAGACTTCAGGCAGAAAGAAGCACTTCTCTGCTCAAAAAGCTCTAAGTGCCCTCTATTAACCATGGGATAACATAAACTCCTACCCTGGCATTTGATGCCCTCCACTACCTCATTTCACATCATTCCCCTCCGTGCACTCTATGTTCTAGCCAAGTAGACAATGGGCTATTTCTTGGTCTAACCCTCCATTCTCCTGTCTCTGAGCACCATCCTCTGTCCCCCCATGCCTGTAATGTACTTCCACTTAATTGACTTCTGTTCAAAATTTTCTTTTTCTCACAGGCCCATGTAGGGGCATTAAGATGCCTCTTTAATCCTCCCTAGCTTGGACCATTCTCAACCACTCCAAATTTTGGATCTCTAATGCATATCACACTCTATTTTCTTACTCTCTCCCCCTTTTATTTGTCCTCACCCCATCCTCCAGTAAAGAGTAAGTTTCTGGAGGGTAAGGACTGTTACATTTTTCATCTTTGCATTCCCAGTGCCTGGAACACAGTAGACATATGTGCCTAAATATATACGTTTGCTGAATTGGAGTAGTAAGCTATGGATGCAGAAAGCATGTTTCCTCCTTGGGACCATGAGGATGCTGTTAAAATAAATAATATTTCTGTAATATGCTCCACTCTCTCTCTCTCTCTTTTTAATTCAGTAGAACCATAGTATGCTAAAAGAATTAAGGGAATTTCATCATTTCCGTAGTAGTAGAAGCTGAAAACATTGTATTACCACAGGATTGGGATGTTTTTCTGGCCAAATTGTATGAGAGGAATACATTTTCAGCTTCATTTAAATCTGTATATGTTTTTTTTTTAATTATAATGTCTTCAAATGACAAGCCTAGACCCATGAGCCCAAGCATGATAAACTAAGATGGAATTGGAAGCAATGTAACATACTAGAAAGGACACTATTAGCATAGAGTTTTCACAAATTCTTTCCTTTCCTCAAATGAATTAGAGTTTTACATCAACACATTGTATAATATGCCCAAATGCAGAAAGCTAATAATACATATGCCCCTCCCTTCTCTGTTTATTGCCACTTACAATTAAATTAATCTCAGTCTTGTAGTTTACATATTGTAGAGACACAAATAACCACTCCATGCCCTAATCCTGTTGTGTCTGGACACCACAAGGGCTGTGCATCTATTGACTATTTTCTTGTCTGAAGCCTTACTTGGATGTATGAATAGGCTGGTGACCTTGCACAGCCCTTCCTCACTTAAATACAATTCACTTGCAAGTCATGGCATCACTTTCCTGATATCATGGTCTTCTTCGAGAATGAAGACAAACAACAAGAAGAATGTACTGCTGTAATCACTGAGTGTTTATGCTGGAACCAGGGGGTGTCTCAGAAGGCTCATCCTGGCTAAGGAGACAGACAAATCCTTTGGATTTGGCCAAGAGTAGAGAAGAGATGGAAGAGATAAGGGGATGGGGAGGGTGGGGAGAAATTAGTCTATACTTAACCTCGGGATTGTGAACTTAAAAAAGATTCCAATAATTATATTTCAACCTAATTGGTTTCCTTTGCAATCCTATACATTTGATTTTACGTATTTACAAATGTTATTCTAGAAATGATTCACAGGCTTCATTGGACTGCTAAAGCACCCAAAGGGATCCATCATGATGCAAAAAAAATAAACAATCCCTAAGTGGCCAGCAATCCTGCAACCTTTTGGTCTCTCCTTCCCAATCTAGGAATTTGCATTTCAGTTTGGTGAAAGCTGCCAGGTAGAAATAAAGAACAGGTTCCAGCTGCCACAACATGTGACTTGAGGAAGGAGCTCAGGGAATCTCCAGTGATTCTCTGAGTCACTTCAGTGAATCTTGGAGAACCCATTGAAAGGGCAGCTAAGATTCTTTTTTTCCTCCATGAACTGGTAGGGTCCATTCTTAATTTGTGTGAGTCTCAAAGGGAAACCAAGAATTCAGGAAGCAATGTAAATTGAAAATATTCTTCCAGAGAAAGACATTTCTGGTTCTGAAAAGGGGTGAAAGGATAGATAGGGACTGAGATAAAAAGCAGTATACGGCAGTGGACAGACATTGGGTTTCAGGGCCAAGAAGACCTGTTTCTGACACATACTGGCTGGAGGACCTTGGCAAATTACTTAACCTTTTGGGTAACTGGACAACTCTCTACAATGAGAAGTTGCAGAGAAGGTCCATATCTGAACTTAGAGAGGGTTTCTTCTTCTTGGAGTTCCCGATACCAGTGAAATGACAAGTCCGGTCCCTATCCCTTTAATACAGAGAGGTACTGCCATTTGTTTGTCATAATTCAGAGCTCAATGCCAAGAGTTTTCATTTTTAAACTTGGGGATACCTGTTATCCAGGCATGAATTCTCATTTGACCAGTTTTCAGAGCATCTTGACACTCTGGAGCAGCTGGAGAATGGTGCTGGAATTTCCTCTGGATGTCAGAGGAAGTGGAAATCCTCTTCCAGCTCTGCTCTGAAGAAGGATGGACCATGATTAAAGAAGAAAAGCCAATCTCAGCGCTAATGGTTGGAGCCTTCAGTACTTTACCAGTCATTTTTCATTATTTGGTGAGGAACAAGCTTCTCAAGCACCAAAGCACTTCACATAGTTGCTAACAATAAGTATAATAAGCAGGGAGACCTACATTAATGTCATGTGACAACTGCAAAGTCAAACACAAAAAAGGCAGAAAGGGCCATGTTGAAGGTTCCTCCAGCAATGATCGCTCATTCAAATTCCACATCCTATACGACTGT